TGGCACTATAACTTTTTTTGAAGGTGTCTGTATACTTTATAAGTATTCAATTCAGTAAGTTCCACAAATTCATAACTTTCTGTTCATTCCTATTTGTTATGCGAAAAGGACTCTTGCCAGATTCTAAATACATTTTTCTTGAGACGTCGGAGAGACTTCTCTGAGGCTGTATTTTACTGGTAAAGAGTTATACTAGAAAGTACAGTAAATGAAAATTTCATTACTGACTGACCAAAAAAAGTTATGATACCATTTTCGTGAAACGAAACTAAATTAATTATTGAAAATTAACAAAACGCTGAAATCGACGGCTTTTTTTAAACTTTTGAGTAAACTAATGAACGGATTTTAATGTAGTTTATCTGATATCATAGGAATTTTTAATACTTGAAATACAATAGCATCAACGGTTCAACCATTATGCACAAAAAACGGGATTTCGCACTGTCTTTAATTATTTATAAATAATTGTTTATAAGCAGTGTTCCACAGCCGGAAATCGAGCACAAACTATAGTCTCAATATTCTGACATCCTTCCGAACAACTTCCAATAATCTTTTACCATCATATATTTTAGTGCTCGAAACAGGCCTTTTAAAGTCTAATCCGACTAAACTCAAAATACGCTTCAGCCCGGTTTCAGGTACAAACCAATATTTATCATGGGCCAAAATAACATGTGACAAAAAATCACAGATACAGATCATTTTCCTGCACAAATAAGTGGTTTAGGTGTGGTGGTGGTGGAAACTCAAATTTCAAAAGTTTGTGAGTGTTTTTGGCTTAATTGATGGACCCTTCAGGAAAATTTTCACCAAAAGTGCTTAATTTGAAGTGATCTTTAAGGTAAGAATAGAGAAAACTCCAAATTCCGACGACCTCAAACGACATCATCACCTAAATGTTTTACTTAATATGAAAAATGGCTGGTTTTCCCTAAGTCATGGAGATAACATAACTTTATTTAAGCTTGAATATACACCAGGTATATCGTGTGCTGTCGTCATTAATAGTTCTTTAAAATTAGAAATTTTCTTGTATGGCCAACCTCTTAGCATTTCCATTTCTGAATTAAAAACTGCATTTATTGTCAAAAGTTTAAATGATCTGGGTAAATTTCCAACAGATCCCTTGGAAAATCGTGTTATCCAGTTACATAATTTAAAAAAAGATATTCAGGATTTTGAAGATATATTTTTAGAAGCTTTTAATAGAAGATCCTTCCTTTGCAACCTATTTATAAATCATCTTATTGATCAAGAACACTTTACTCATTTTCAGGGCTGTAGTAATCATTCAATTAAAAATATTGCGAATATTATTCTCAGCAGTGATTCCAATCACTTATTAACAATTATTGTGGTAAATCTAACAATCAAAAACAAAAAACGAAAATAGCAACTTTTGTCAAGTAAATAAGAACTAAGTACGAATACCAGAATCCCAACATTATTCACACAACTTGCCTGATGGTTTATCAATTTTATAACCCGGCTTTGCATTACTTTAAAATGCACTTTTCCTTGGAAAATGTACATTTCCTTCAGGTAGTGAACTTGTAATCCGAAACTGACGAAAAACTCGAAAAAATCAGCCAAATAACAAAATTCATACTTGCAAAGGAAAATGAACTTGACCAGATGGATGACGTCACGCTTAAGCGCTTGGGCCTTATATCTAGGTGGTATTGATACAACTCATTGAAAACATCGTAGAAGTTTCAGATCTGAAATAATAGACATTTTCAACACTAATCTGAGCCAGTGAGTTACTGCGCCGGTGCATTGTGTTGGCGCACCAAGCCATTCCACTGAGTTACCCAGGCCAATTCACTGAGTTACCCAGTCCTACGCCATATCAGACTGGACAAACTTTGGAAGTTAAAATGGAAAATCCGGGATGCAATTGAGGTGAAAAAGTGGCAGTAGCGATTTCGCGTAATTGCTTATTACAAGGCACAGGCATGAAATTTACGGCCCAAAATCAGAGCACTAATTAGACTTTTCAAAACATGCACTAATGCCAAGGCGGGATTATATATATTAGCGGCGTTCTGTCAATTAATAGACGCTATTCTGGTCTTATTCTTATTTTCATCGTTGCGTTTCACATAAATTGGCCTCTGGTGAAATTTATGGCCGCCACGTCCAACTTAATTAGAACTACTGCGATTTAGTGATTCCGCAGTGTAAAATATTCCTGCGATGTTGGTACACAGCACAAGCCGCAAATCGTCATTAAAATCATCATATTCGTTTAGAGGCATTCATAGACCGCCTAGACCACTATCAATTAGCCTGCTCGAGTCGAAAACTGAAATCCCAAAGGAAGAAAAATTGTATAAATCCACGTTATTGGGCTTGACAAGGGCCAATTAGGTAAAGTAAGCAAAGGACACAGACGGGAACACGCCAAGAGATGCAAACGTACATTAGCTTAATTGAACATTAGGTGAAATGAACATTTGGACCCCATTAGTGATGAGAAGCAAAGTGATTAATTAGTTGGCTTCGCAGCCTTCGACGAAAAAGAATTTCTTCCACTTTAAAATATTAAGCTGGCACAATGACGCTAATTAAACTTCTTATTTCCTTAATTGAAATGAGGGTGGGTGACGAACAAAAAGAGATTCAACCAACTCTAGTACATATTTACATCTACCTATGATAATGAGACTCTAACTTTTCGTGCAATTTTTTATTCAGACGTAATTTGCAACTACAGTCGGCAGCTATTTTCCTTCGCCGACAGGGAGGTAAATGGCATAATTAAAATAGATTTCTGTAAACTCTAAGTAAACACCATCATCCCCGTCACAATCATCTTGTGACATTTGAATCGTTTCGGGAAAGCGGCAGCCCCGTCTTAGTTGAAAAGCACCGGAAAATTAATTAGGAAATTAATTTATTCGAATGTTATTAAAAGGCGGAATAATGCTGGTCGGCTGTTTGCGTTCCCGCATTTATAGTTTAACGCCACTCGGTGTCTTTACTACAGTGGCACGGAAGGAAAATCTGCTCGATTATTATCAAATCGCACTTTTTCTGCGAAATCAATCCAATGTAGGCAAAGCTGAATAAATAGTCCTCTTATTATCCGAATTAAATCACTTTTCCGTAAGGATCAACGTCTAAACTGATCCAGAATTAAGTCTTAGTGAGTCTAGCGGGGTTTGTACACTCTATCGACACTTTCCAGTATTCACTTAATGGAATGTAAATAAGGACCGCAACCCACAGTGAAATAACGCCCGGTTTTGCTTCAGAAAATACATTATTTCAATACGAATGGACCTGGGTTCTATTAAGGTCAGGCTTAAATAGTCATTTTTCCGACTCGGTGGCTGACATAGACGCAAACCGCTCTTTGGTAGGAAAATTAAGTAAAGTTGCCAGTCAAATTCGGAAAGAAGAGAACACTCCACTTGCTGCAAAAAACTCGCAAACAGTTATGCCAGTCAGACATCTTCAAAGCCTGATTTTGGACTATTGGGAAACCGGAATGCTATATAGAAAGTGACCGGTTTGTCCGCAGCAAACTACAACTCGCTTCTATGAATACGATAGTTGGCGAAATTTTAATTGAATAATTCGTTCGCTTCGAAAACCGGTTTTCAACGGCGACCATCYGAAACCTGTATTTTTAAATTTGGGACTAAAAAGCAGATAAGTAMACATCGGCTAGGCGATGCGATGCTGAAATTTATCRCGTTGAGTCGCATCGCCCAGCTCATACACGTGCAGGTACCCTTAGGGCACCCGCAGACGGACSACTTTTCACGMTTTTTTGAAGCGTGAAAAGTRCCAACATGCTCTTTCGGTACAAGCCATATTCGGGTCGGGATGGTCGGTATTTAACGGAACCGCTAAAATAACAGTGTTCCAAACGTGAACCTGAAACCGTAGTTCCAGCTAGCCGATTTAACCGGTTTTTAAACCGCCACAAACGCGCCAAGAACTAGAATCAGTAAAAAACATCTGCAAAAAATTTATTCTTAAATGATAATAAATTTTTAACTGAAAATTATATTTTTAAACATTTTCGCATATAAACCGTATATTTTATTTAATCACTCCAGTTTTATTATTATCAGTTTTTTTGTTCTTTAGGTAGTTACCGCGTTATCTATGTTTTGTCTTTGATTTGATAATATTTTATTTTAAGTTCACCAATGTTAAGAATTACATTTTTAAAAGGAAATCATTATACAGGGTTATTCACGCTATACGGCACGGAAGTTTGCGGCTAAACCGTTTGATTTTTAAAAAGTATTATTTTATGAATTGTCCGACGCCTACC